AATATTTTGGGCAAACTATTTCTTCTTGCTGATACTCTCCACAGAACTAGTCAGAAAAGAAAGAATCTTGCTTGTCTCTATTAACACTCAGTCTGTAGGGGAATCAGAGCAGTTCTGATAAAGATATCACATTTAACATCATCCAAGGTAAACTTTAGAAAGATATCAAATTTACAAATATTGCAGAGTCTGGGTTCACATTTAATTGGCTTACACTTTTATATATATCTCATTTTTAAAATAAGGCCTTTAAAATGCAATTTGGACAAGTTACTTGTATAGAGCTGGAATCATAGATTCATAGATTCTAGGACTGGAAGGGACCTCGAGAGATCATCGAGTCCAGTCCCCTGCCCGCATGGCAGGACCAAATACTGTCTAGACCATCCCTGATAGACATTTATCTAACCTACTCTTAAATATCTCCAGAGATGGAGATTCCACAACCTCCCTAGGCAATCTATTCCAGTGTTTAACCACCCTGACAGTTAGGAACTTTTTCCTAATGTCCAACCTAGACCTCCCTTGCTGCAGTTTAAACCCATTGCTTCTTGTTCTATCCTTAGAGGCTAAGGTAAACAAGTTTTCTCCCTCCTCCTTATGACACCCTTTTAAATACCTGAAAACTGCTATCATGTCCCCTCTCAGTCTTCTCTTTTCCAAACTAACCAAACCCAATTCTTTCAGCCTTCCTTCATAGGTCATGTTCTCAAGACCTTTAATCATTCTTGTTGCTCTTCTCTGGACCCTTTCCAATTTCTCCACATCTTTTTTGAAATGCGGTGCCCAGAACTGGACACAATACTCCAGCTGAGGGCTAACCAGAGCAGAGTAGAGCGGAAGAATGACTTCTCGTGTCTTGCTCACAACACACCTGTTAATACATCCCAGAATCATGTTTGCTTTTTTTGCAACAGCATCACACTGTTGACTCATATTTAGCTTGTGGTCCACTATAACCCTAGATCCCTTTCTGCCGTACTCCTTCCTAGACAGTCTCTTCCCATTCTGTATGTGTGAAACTGATTTTTTCTTCCTAAGTGGAGCACTTTGCATTTGTCTTTGTTAAACTTCATCCTGTTTAACTCAGACCATTTCTCCAATTTGTCCAGATCATTTTGTCCAGATCATGTGTAGTCTCATCGCAACTTTAGTGACAAAAGCAGCACAACTTGTAATATGACCTATGCATATGCTTAGATTTACGGTGTATTCATTATTTTAATAGCACTTAATGACTTACTGTCAAAATTCTTTTTCCAACTTCTTTTATTTAAGGAAAAGCTGTTATGTCACAATCTCATGCCTCCTCTAATTGGATAAGCATTTCCTTTGTCCTTGAAACAGCAAAGTAGAATGTGTACCCAGGAGCTAGAGAATGAGAAAGCATCTGTCTTTGCATTTGGCAGGCCTGAATTAAAAAACTCACTGCGTGTGCTATAATTTTTTGAATTCTGACCAGCACCCCCATCCTCCGATTCCAATATGCAGTTGTAAATGTCAAGATAGGCCCATTTAAAAAAAAATCCTTTGGAACAACGCATAGAACATCAGAGACCTGCATACAACAGAACGCAGGCCGTGATCCAGCAAAGCACTTAAGTGTAGTAGTCTATTGAAGTCAATGAAATCACTAAAGTATGTGCTTAACTTTTGCATGTGCTTTGCTGGATTGGGGCCTAAGTCTCTTTCTAGTCAGAGACAAACAAAACGAGCGCTGAATACACACAAAACACTTCTGCCAATTTTGTTTTTTAAAAGTACCACCTAAGCTACACTGGATGGCTCATACTTTATTTAGAAGATGCTTCATTGTGTCAAATATGTAATGGAGAGGTTATGATGCCCTGCCTTCAGAATGTCAATGCATTACAATGGAGCACTGCAGAGAACGTTAAAATTCCAGATGATAATGAAGCCAAACATAAAGCTGTCACGTTTTTTAATAACATGTGAAAAATGTATTACCACACACCTATTACACAGAAATGAGGTCGAGAAAAAGAAGACATACATGAGCTTTGGCTACTCTACTGCTTCTTACAGGTACTGGTGTACTGCATTAGCAGCCACCCTTTGGACTCTGGTGCATAGTTATGACTTGTTCTCCTTTCCCATTATATCAATTTGTATAACTACTCTACTCTACGGACTCGGGGGGTGAGGGGGTGTTTTTGCAATGCAGGTATTTATACCCTGGACAATGTTTCCCACCACACTTCTTGATTAATATTAACACTTTGCCTGGTTATAACCTGCTTAAACCTCGTATTTTCTGCACGTATTTCAACCTGGCAAGAGATCATAATCTTTCTTCACAAATGCAGACCTTGTCATAGTTATTAATGTCTTTGTCACCTCCACAGTATCTTACTGCAATGAGCTTTACTGATCACTTGGAAACTTCAGGTAGTGCAGAATGGAGTTTACCCATTTACTAAGTGGCATTTCTCACAATGAGAATAACACTATTGTGCCATAGTTTTATTTACAGGTGCAACTGAAGCTGCTGGTTTTAATCTAGGAGGTCCTAAATGGTTTGTCTTCACTACTTAGGGACTCCGCCCCTCTCCATGTCCGATCACAAGTGTGATCAGCTGAAGCACAGACTAATAGCCTGCAATTTTACGTGGGAGGGAATTTGGGGGAAAGCTGTTAATTGGAGTCCTCTATACTTAAATTCACACCCCAAGTTGGTTAGAAAGGGCCCAGATGTATTGATTCTGTTGCTATGCTGCATGGTTCACCATTTACATAGGCTTTTCCCTGTGCTGCAAAGGTCTTGAGGTTTTTGAACGACAGAAGAGTCTCTCTTTTTTTGGGATGGGGATTCAGAGTCAATCAACTGGCTCTGAGTCAGTAGGTTAACTGTTTAATTTGTTGTGTAATTATGTATTAGAGTTCAGCAGCATGCATTTAGGTTTCAATTGGCCTATTTTATACATTTTCTCATAACCTATAATTCAACACTGCATAGTTTCACCGCATGTCAAAAGTAACCACACTCGAGTAGCTTACTCTTTAAAGAGATTTCTTTACCATTAACTTTGTTACAGTAGACACAGCCTGGACACTGTTAGAGTGACAAGGACTATTTCCTTAATTACTGTACACTGATAATAGCATTTACTCTGGCAGCTCCAGTGCTATTCAATCAAGCGAGATCCAATACAAAAAAGCTGATTTGCCAAAAAAGAGATTAGCATAAGTGCCTACAGTCACTTTTTGAAGTTAAAGCTACTGTCTCTGTGAGCACTTCTTGTGGGAACTTTATGAAGATAAAATGGATTACTCTCATCTGAGATATTTGGGGACAATTGTACTGAATCTCAATTTTTAGACTAATTGCATTTTTAAAGAAAAATAATGAAAACAAACACTGTAAAATAAAGAATTGATCAAATCTGGGTTTCAAAGTGCTAAGGAGCATAGGAAAGGCATATTTATTATCTTATGTGTACATGAATATTTGTCTGTTGTGGTGAATTCTGCACTCCCCAATTTTGTATTGCTGGACTTAGTCATCAGCCAATCTTGTGGTGACTAAAGTTGTTGCTTTTTATAATTAAATGCCATTATTTACAGTAGATCTCATACATGCTGGAAAGGCAGACTTTAGCATTATGTACATTTGTAAGCAGAAGGTTAAGCCCGATATTTAAATGGTGAACTAAAATGAGATCAAGGCTTAAAAGCAAATTGCAATGAGGTATGAGAGAGGTGGTAAGTGGACATTAATCACCATACAGACTTAATCAGGTTTTAAGCACTCCTGGGGAAAACACCAAGACTCACTCACATAGGGTCTGATCCTACCAACACTTATGCATGTGAATAACTTTACTCGTGGGAGTAGTCCCACTAATATTAAAAGTGTTTAAAAAGATCTGGACCATATTCTGCCTAAGCTACAATAGCAACCACACAATCATTTTGTCCTAAGGGGATTTGAGAGTATAAGTAGTTGTAACCTCACTCAAATCGTCACCCGACGCATGATAACACACATGTGGCCAGGGAGCATAAAGATCCATTTTTCCATGTTTTATCCCTTCCTATAGTCTATTACTCTGACATCAGGATCACAGACAATCAGTTATTGCCAAAGACGGGCCTGCTAAAACCATGGAGCTAGTGCCTTCTCATGGGACTGAGCTCATTGTCTCAGGGACACATTTAGCAATCACAAATCCCGGCTTAGAACACTAGCCCATCTCTACTCTTATTTCAGCACTTGCACAATGGACTTAAACTACTACTAAAATAAAAATTCCAAGTGGATAGCAACATTTCCATAGATATACAATTCATTGTGACAAGGCAGTTTTATTAGATGCTTGGAAATACTAATATGCTTCACCATTTAACTCTACTCCCCCAAATACAAAACCATACTACTCCCAAACTCCAGCCCACAGCACGTTTAACGCCCTCTTTGGGATTGTCTCAAACAGTAGTAAAACAGATCCAACAACCAGGGTGAGTACAAGATGATCTACCCTTGGCTGGGAGGGGAGGGGGCACTGAGGGGAGAAGAGGTAGAAGTGGGGAGGTGAAAAATGGGGCAGATATCCATCCATTGTTTATCTTTTCAAGGAGTAGCAAAATGAAAAATTCTACAACCCCTTAATTCTGATTGTAGAAGAGGGACAGTGATGTAACTGTTCTCAGGGAACAATATTCTTATTTTGTGGGAGGAGGTGAGCCAAGATACTTAAGCTCTAGAGAACCTTTAACACAGGAAGCTATTTATCATAACAAGCTTGGTTGATACTGCTCCCATACTGAACCAATTAGATTAGCCTATTTCGTCATACTTCATAACCTGGGATGATAGGTTTCCAAGCATGGTACAGTGCAGTAATTGAATTTTGATCAAACACACATGGCTCATAACCCTGTATATGAAACTTTCAGAACAGTTCACAGCTTTTAAATATCCAGTCAACATGTTGCCAAAAGTACAGGATGTACTTGATGCAAGTGGGAAGGAAGAGAGAGAGTGTGCTGTAACTTGGTACAGCTGTAAAACAAACATTTTTTATTCTGATTCTGTTCCTACTTTTGCAAAGGAGCTGGGAGAAAGACAGCGAATGTCAAGTCAGTCACTTTTCATCCCAGCCCCCATACCTCCCAGATACACACTTACATTACCACATGCTTTTAAATTCAAGATACTGTCTGAGATACCAGGAATTGTGTCTGTTAGCATGATGTTCATTGCTCATACTTATTTAACAAAATAACTGAAAAGTGGTGCACATCATCCTCTTGATAGGGCTATAGTGGATGAGATCATGAAATGACAGCCCTGAAAGATAAAGATTCCTTCTTTCCCCGGCTTCCACTATTGACAATGCAATCCATACAGTGGCGTAGTCCTGCTCTCTTCAGACTATGCAGGGACAGTCAGTCACACAGACGTTGGTATCAGTCAGGTCCTTAGCAGATAGTGGCTTCCCATTACGTTTTCCGTACGTCTTCCTCTCAGTAAATGCAAAGGGTTTGAAAGAGGTCTCTAAAGAGAACAGAAAATAGTAACCATTTCATTCCCAACAATTTTTGGTACAAGATGTTTACCATAAAATATGTCCAAAACACTGTGAATCTGAACAGCAAAATGAACATTGTGTGTTTTGGTACTTGTTAAAATAATATGTCTGATAAATACAAGTTACAGCTGCCATCTGGCCTACAACTATCCTGAGCATGCTAGGGCTTTTTAGAGCCATGGTTCCCGAACCTACATGTTTCAGTAATAGCACATCACTGCCAACCTCCTTTTTAGATGTGTGCACTCTACCCTGCCAGGGAGCTGGGGCTGCTTCAAACCCCAGTTTCATGCAATCCTGTACAACTGAAAGGGATACCCTACTGATTCGGCTGAGAGCTTTGTTTATATTACGCTGATCCAAATGACCAAAAAAGATTGGGAACTTTCCACCTCACAGCCTTCTTACACACCTGTTTTGGAGCACAGGTGGGTAAGTGAAAAAAAATTACAGCTTCCAAAGGGGAAAATGGTGCTTTCCAGGTTTAACCAAAATGTGGACCCCACTTGGTCTTGCCTTTTGGTCAGGACCAGGTACAGTGACAGGGTGCAACCACCAAAGTAAGTCTTCTAAACTCAGAACAGAGTCCAGGAAAAAAATGGCTGACTTAAGCTGTTGCAGAGAAGAGGAGACAGAAAAAGAACTTAATGTGCCACATGTCAAAACTGGGTCCAAGTTTCAGCTCAAGGCAAGGTTAAAAAACAGGCCTGTTATAATCCTCTTAAAGAGAGGATTTATACAGTAATTACAGTAATGGAAACTGATCTTTATAATTCTTATACCAGCTACAGACCCGCTGTGTCATATGCATCGACAGAGGTTGCTAGCTACTTTTCTTACAGACTGCAGATGCAAACTTGAGAACAGACCGTTCAAACCTACAGAGGCAGAACTATCAAAACAGAGCCTGGGCATGTCCAAGATCTAATTAGGCTCAGGGGCTAAAGATAAAAAATCCTAGAAGAAACTGGGAGTATGCTATTTTTTTCTGTTAAGACGGAGAGATGCTGTGCAATATATTTTAATTTCTTGTTCATGGAATTTGTGGAACCAGGTTTTCCTTTCACACTGTGTAAACAGGTTTAGAATGCATTTGTTTTTATCTTCCCATTTCCTTTCCTTTGTTACAGCCTGAGGTCCACAGAGACAACACAATGGTAACAGCATCCTGTTCTGGCACAAATTCACCTCACATTCACACTCCTGTTAATCTTTGTTGTGCGAGAAAGAACACGAGTGCTAAATCTTTGCCTGTGTACTAAAGAGCAGCTTCAGCAGACCTAGGAATTCAGCTATGGGGTTTGGTTCCACCTACAGGAAGCAGGAGGCAAAAAAAAATAATCATGCTCTCAAGCTTCTTCTGTACCTTATTCCTCAGGTCTAGAACCTGCAGCCAGGCTTGTTGAAGTCATTATCCAGTGGTGGATTAATGATTTTGCTGCCCCAAGTCCCTGAAATAATTGCCGCCCCTGGCCTCATATGAACTTGTTTTAGTTTTTTTATAAATTCGTTTGAACTAAAATGAAGCTAAATATCATTAAAATAATTGAACATTTACAAGTTTTATTATAAATAAAATTACAAGTATAGCGGACCCTCGCTTGAACGCGCATCTGTATAGCGCGATTTCGCTTATAGCACAGGACCACGCATGGATCCAAAACTGAGAACCGATTAATTTCTTCCTTCCAGTCATATTATTAACGTTTAGGATTCTCGTGAGTATGTTTACTAAATGGCGTCGCACCGTCATTGGTGGTTTCAATATGCGCTATGATTGGTAGAATCACGGCATCACTGATGCCGTGATTACAAAAATGCTGCTATTATAAATTTGCCGCCCTAGGCGTAGGCCTTGTCAGTCTAGGCGATAATACGCCGCTGCATCTATCCAGCCCAGTTCTCCTGACTTCATTCATGTAAAGGACTCTGACTGGGTGCCAGGTCATCTCTAAATACTAATTAATATAGTTCTGAAGAAGTCCAACTTCTCCAAAGTCCTTCAGAAATTGTGGAAGGAGGTCCACAAGAGACAGGTATTTTTGGCAGCTGACGTATGAATGAATAGGGTGTTACGTAGCACATAGATGGAAATATGCTTTAAAGTGGAAAAAATACTGATACAACCATGCTTGAAATATTATGGATCATTTTGGTCTTCTAATATCTGGTTAAACATTTGGAGAAAATTACGAAGAAAGACAGCAACTTTGACTTAGGCTTTGTCTACACTGGAACCTGAACGACAAAACTTTTGTTGACCGGGGAATGAACCCCCTTCCCACCTCCCCAAAACAACAAAAGTTTTGCCAACAAAAAGCACCGGTGCATCAGCTCTCCAGCTGACAAAGCTACCACCGCTCGTTGTGAGTGGAAGTTTTTTGTTGGTGAGAGAGCTCACTCCTGCCGACAAACAGCGGCTACACTGCATGCCTTTTAGCGGCACGGCTGTATGGCACAGCTGTCTCGTTAAAAAATGCGTAGCGTAGATGTGGCCTTAGAGTTTGGTAGGACTAGAAAGCATCACAGTGTAACAAAGACTGGCTTTGGGGTGGGGGCAGGGAGAACAGCAGCAGTCCCTGATTAAAACCTGATCTAACAAAACACTAAAGCAGACGCTTAAAATTAAGCACTTGCTTTAATGGAATGGGGCCTATGTTACTTTTGTGGTTAACTGCCTCCTGCAACTGCTTGTTGAAAAGAATATATCTAGTACATGACTGCTGATTAAGATACATGCCCTTAGTGAGAGAAGAGAACTTGTGTAAAAAGCCTAAGTCCACAGGTGCATATAAATATATGATGGACCTTTACAACAATGAAGAGAGTGTAAGAACTCAAAGTTACCAGACTGTACACGTGTATCTAAGGTTAAAGAACTGTATTATGGCATAGTAGAGAAATATAATTGAATCATGTAATTAATTACAGTCACAATATATGACTATGAGACAGCAGAAACGTATGGTTGCCTGTGCAAGCTTATCTTTGACATTTCCCCAATTGAGTGTTTAAGCACACAACTGTAATGTTCCCAACATCGTTTTGTGTATAGAATAGTGACAGAAATTGCAGCAGAAGCAACAGGAAGGGCAGTGGATCCAGAAATGGGCTACATGAAGCTAAAAAAACATGAAAAGATGGAACATGTGAGAAGACTGAATACACAGAGCTGGGTAAGCAAATATAACCCAATATACTCTTGAGGAACAAAGGAAACAATAGTTGATGGGGTCACAACAGATGTTTTCCAAAAACTCTGATAGAACATGTCAAACACAAAGATCTTCCTGCAGCTCTGAACAGTTTTACTGGCAAGCTACAACAATACACCTTTGGAAACAATAAAACCTCGCATTTTAAGGTTTGATCGGGTACAGAAGTCAAAGCAGAGAAGTGATATCTCTGTGTAGTAAGTGGAGAGAGAAAAAAGCAGCAGAGTCAACAAAACAGCATCAGGAGACATTAGCTATTCCCCCTGCCATTTAAATCATTGCAGTCCAATAGCAGTCAGAGAGTTTGCTCTTTAAAATGCTTTTAAAACAGTTTTCCTGGAAAACGTGGTATGTGCATATTATGATGATGAGGTATACAGGTTGACGTGCACAACTAATGCAGCCATGTCCTACTCTCACACAAAACCAAACAACTACACCACAATGTATTTCCTATTTTAATATAAAAATTTAAAATAATGTATATATTTTATATACATCCACCTTCTCTAATTTCCTTCTCACTGTACAAATCAATGCAACGTGCCTCAAAGTGATTCCTTTGACTAGGTACTACACTACACTTCAATACTGCAGTGATGCATGCTGTAGATAGAAAACCTTAAGATAAAGAGAATGAAATAATGACAATGTTTATGGAGAATACATGGTCTTGTGGTCTGACTGGCATTCAGGTGATATGGGTTCAATTCCTGGCTCTGCCACATCTTCAGCAAAGTAGTTGCTTTCTGCCCCTAAGTTCCCCATCTGTAAAACAGCAGTAATATTTCACCTCACAGGGCTGCTGAGAGGATAAGTTCATGCATGTCTGTGAAGCAGTCAGATACTGTGGTGTTGGTGGTTGAGTTGGGGCAGGAAAATAACTATCTAGATATATGATTAGGAATTTTATTGCCTTTCTCTACAGAGAGAGGCAAACCAACTATTGAGGGAAGAGCTCCAATCCTTTGAGAGGCTTGTTCTGAAATAGTAAGATCACTCAAAACTAGAGAAACAATAGGGTGAGCAGCTTGACTTATGGGAGGATTCCACAGCATTCAGCAATTCAGAAAATCATGATAAACACTTAGATGCCTACTACTGCAGACAACGTGTCATGAATTCAGTGGTCTGGATTTACATCTTGCAAAGATGTTTTTACAGTCCTTATGGTAAACATTCAGTGTCTGACTCTTACAGCATGAAAATGCAGACCTCATTACTTCTTTAGTGATCTTGTCATTATCATGTGCCTGCTCAGTTAAGCCTCTCCAATTATTAGTATTGACCACACAGCTGAAGTTTAATCACATGAGGATGCATGTGTTGAGCCGCACAAGATAGTTCAAGCACAAAATGATGTGCTGGCAAAAGCTGGAGGAGGTATGTAACTCTTGTGATGTCTGTGACATTGTATGATTAAAATATGACATGTATATCATTGTTGCTACCACTGTTATACAATTGCAACAAATCTTATACGAAGTATATCATATTAAGGTATCAATGGAAAAGTTACAACCTATCAAATCTGATTATCCTTGTTTGTATGTGTGTATCGTCTTTGTATCTAAAGTTATGAATATTGACTATGTACCAGTATTTCAAATGTGTTTGCTCCATGGGTAACACCCACCAGGTAGTTTACATTCAGTCTAGCCAGTACATTGTGAATGGACCATTCAAGTTGATGGCCCATTAATGAACACAATGGGCCATGGAAGAAGCTTATCCATGCTTGGTGAGTCTTCCTGTGGACGTTTTAGCCAGAATATGGGTAGTGGCTGCTTCTATGACTCATTGAAGCATGCAAGGGCATGTGATTAGCTCATGTGACTCTGGACTCCGTCTTGTGCCTGTACTTTTCCACAAACTGCACTGAGGGCTTTGTTTGGGACAAAGAAGTTTCCTTCACATGGGAGAAGGTATAAAAACCCTGGAAGCATCTCCATTTTGCCTCTTTCCTGCTGTGATCTCTGGACTTACACTAAAAGGAGCATTCCAATCAACGGACTGAGGAGCTTCCAGTCTTTTGCAAGTTACCAGAGACTTTACAAGCCAGCAGTTTATTCCATCATTGCTTCAAACCTGATACAAAAACTCTGCAATGCTTGTATGTATTTGATAAGAAGACAGAAAATACATTGACTCTATATAAATCCATGGTACATCCACATCTTGAATACTGCATGCAGATGTGGTTGCCCCATTTTAAAAAATATATTGGAATGGGAAAAATTACAGGGCAACAAAAATGACTGGGGTGTGGAACAACTTCCATATGAGGAGAGATTAATAAGACTGGGACTTTCAACATGGAAAAGAGACTACTAAGGGGGGATATGATAGAGGTCTATAAAATCATGACTGGTGTGGAGAAAGTAAATAAATAAGAAAGTGTATTTACTCCTCATAACACAAGAACTAGGGGTCACCAAATGAAATTAATAGGCAGCAGGATTAAAACAAACAAAAGGAAGTATTTATTCACACAACGCACAGTCAATCTGTGGAACTCTGCCAGAGGATGTTGTGAAGGCCAAGACTATAACAGGGTTCAAAAAAAGAACTAGATAAATTCATGGGGGATTGGTCTATCAATGGGTATTAGCCAGGATGGGCAGGGATAGTGTCTGTAGCCTCTGTTCGCCAGAAGCTGAGAATGGGCAACGGGATGGATCACTTGATGATTAACTGTTCTGTTCATTCCCTCTGAAGCACCTGGTGGAAGACAGGATACTGGGCTAGGTGGACTTTTAGTTTGACTGTGTATGGCTGTTCTTATATTCCTTTGACCATTTTAACTCTCTCATCTTTCTTTTCTCTTATAAATAAGCCTTTAGATATTAGATACTAAAGGATTGGCAACAGTGTGATTATTGGGTAAGATCTGAGTTTTATATTGACCTGGTTATGTGGCTGATCTCTTGGGATTGGAAGAACCGTTTGTTTGATTAAATTAAATTAAATAACCACTCACCATTAAGTCTAGTGTCTGGGTGGTAAAACAAAGCCTGGGATACCTAAGGAGACTGCATTTCTAACTTTTCATTAACCAGGAGTTTACTTTTGTTACTGGCTTGGTATATCTTATGGAAGAATAACCACCAGTTTGGGGTGGGTCTGCCCCGTTTCTCAGCAGTTTGTCTTGAATCTGGTATTCTCAGCTGTGACCCACTGAGGCACGGTGACAATGTCAACTTCTGAAAGGCTTCATAGAAGCAGCATGTTTTGAGGAGGGATGTGAAGGAGAGGGACACAGTTAGTAAGAAGAAGGGTCAGAGGAAAATAATCTGAAGAGAAGAGAGAAATTAAAGTTGGCCAGAACTTTGAAGGCCTTTCTGTCTAGTCATCCTTGGGTGTAACATCACCACCATACACAGGCTCTTACATAGAGGAGAGGGAATATGAAATGGGTGGCAAAATCGTACAATCCTGAGCAGTATGAAAAGGACACAAACAATCACTCCATGTTTTGTTGCAGTTATATGAAGGGGAATAAAGGATGGAAACACTTTCAAGGTGGACAGGCCTAAAATAGTACTTTTTAAAAAATAGTGTTTTTGCTGAGTCTCCACACAACGTGCCTCTGTACTGACAGATGCTCTTCCCTGCTAAACTTTCTGTTCTTGGGAGTGGTGTAACAAAGACATGTACAAAGACTTTATATAAACAGATGGACTTGCCAACATGTCAAATTTTCATCCACTTTAAGTTTTCACACACAAATCAGCCTCAGCATCGTTTAAAAGATAATAATATGGAACGCTGCAAGTAGTCTGGACATGCTAAATAACTGTGTTCTTGAACTGTACCTTTCTTAAATGTACTCAATATAAATAATTTTAAACCCATACATGGTTTACTTTTCTCATATGTGGCATATACTGATAACACCCTGATTGCTTAAAAGTAAGGTTATGTTTATGTATGGTGTTTTTTATACTTATCCTTAATTTAGATTAAAAGGAAACTGACTAGCTGAAATGACACAAATTTTCTATGAAATAGTGGTTTTTGGAAAATTCATATATCGCTTAAGAAAACATTGATAAGGAAATATTAAAATAGTTTTGAAGGTTGTATATAAATAAAAAATCCGGAAATGTTATGTGAGAGGTTATAGTGAAGACAATGTAATATAGATTTCTGGTCCAAATTAAAACAGTTTTTCTGTAATAAGCTTGTTTCAAATCTACTAAATGGTTAAGGGAATGTTTAAATTAAACAGTATGAAGATATTGACTATCAAACATCAACACTGAAGCTTCTCACTGTGTCTTTCATGACCTATTTTTGGTAAATCTTGGATGTCACACGGAAGTTTGGTAACAAAGCATTTTGTGAGATGCCCAGGATATATGTTTCATTAAAATACAAGATGCCTTTGTCAACAAGGACCAAATAAAAGAAGTGTAGGTTAGAGGGATAAATCCACATACCTATATTTTATTACATCTTCTATTTAACTAGTATAAAAAAATTTTACTTCTGACATATTCTGTTTCATTAAAACATAGGTACATATGTTTGGTAAGAACTATTTTGAAAAAGATGGCGCACAGATGATGGTTAAAACAGTAATAAAGTTGATATCTGACCATGAAAGTCAACAAGTTTGGGGTTTTTTTGAGACTGAAGGTATAATACAGGCAAAATAAACAGGTTCTATTCTAACTTTGATGCATAATATCTACTGTGCCTTTTGAATGAGGGTGTTCTATTTATGGCATTACACTTTTCTATCCCTTCCCCAGCTGCTGATTTTCATTATTAAACTGTGAGCCAAATCAGGCAACCTCACTCAAATTTGTTCTTTAATTTAAAGAGGTTTTCCATGAAGGTAATAGGATTGCAAAGGATATAAATCCTCTCAGATTTTGGACCAATCTTTTTAAAATCAAGCTATTAAGTCTTTTTTCTGATTTTTCAAAAAAATAAAGATGTCCATTTCATAACTGTTACAGAGACCTTACAATCCTGGAAACAGTGACACAGGTTTTAGACTCGGGATGATATCCTACGCCTCCTGAAATCAATACCAAAACTCCCACTGACTTCAACAGTGCCAAAATTTCTTCCCAGATGCTTTGCCTGTTACTAACTCACACTGAAAGATAAAACCAGGGCAGGCACCAGGCATCCAAGCTGGTGCTTGGGGCGGCACCTGGAGGGGGGCGGCGCGGTGCTCCGGCCGCCGGGGAGAGTGGGGCCACAGCCGGGCTCGCCGCCCCCCCCCCGGCCCCCCCGCCGCCCGCCCCCCCCCCCCCCGCCCCCGCCCGGCCGCCCCTCCCCCCGCGGAAGTTGCCGCCCCAGGCAAAAAAGCCAGAGCCGGCCCTGGATAAAACATTGACAGTGCAAATTATGAATATCTGCATAACTCACAAGTAGCACAGCCTAGAAGTCATGAGCTACGTGTTCACAGAAATGGAGCAGTCACACAGAAGAGACTTCTGATGTGAAGCCTTGCGCTTGATGACATTTCTCTAATATCTTTACCAGCTTTTTTCAATACACAACATTTAATATGCAGTTACATAATTCTAATAAAGTGTCATTAATATAAATCAGTTATCAGGAATTTCAGTGGACTACTGAATCCAATCAATCAAAATGCACCTGTGTGTAGACGACACTTCCTGCCAGACTTAAGGATACGTCTGTGTTTTTCTGAATGTCTCATTGGTAATACTCAGCCTGGTAAGCCTTGCTCCATAGTAATCTATAATGTAACTAGAGCCATCGGAAGGTCCAACGATCTAGAAAAAAGAAAACAAGATTTTCCAATATTAATTAAAATGTACACACTTTTTGTGCTAATATCTCAATTATTGTTAATTTGTCCATCACAAAATTAATCATGCTCAAATTACAAAATATAAACTGGATTCATTTTGAAGTTGTGCTGCAGTTTAACCATTTTAGTGAGTACTCTCTTTGAAGCAAGACTTCCCCAGAGCTCCTAATCAACCAAATTACAGTGGTGAATGAGCTGCTAGACTCTGGCCTTAGGCTGAACCAATCAGGATTTGAGCCACAGCAGGCTGCCTTTTAGAAGATCTTGCTGACAGATGGATGAGCCCCAGAAAATGTCACCATTTCCGTAATAAGGGAGGATAGATGGGAGAAAGACACTGAGATGATGGCAGCTATTTTGGGAATATGAAACTGGTAAGAAATGGGGCCAAAGAAGAGCTTCGCTGGGATTTTTCTGCAATTGATAAATGGAGGTAGAGGGCCCAAGGAGATGAAGAACAAGAAGAGAAAATTGTGAAGGGGAGAGGGGTAAGAACTGTCTTCAACTGTTCCAATCTCTGATGGGAGGCAAGGCTACTGGCATAAGGTAAAGTTTTAGAGCATATATAATTTTAAAAACGTGAAAAACACTAACATAACATATATTCTTTTATAAAACACTTGCATGTTTTAAGTTATGAATTGAATTTTTTTCCAGTCCTGGTCTTCTCTTGTGCTAAGGCTGCAAGTTGTAGCTAATGGGAGTTGATTTTTGAAACATGAACAGTATCAGAAGGAAGGAGGAGAATGAATCCAGAATCTTCTTCCCTTAAAATCATTATGTCCAGAAGTGAAAAAATAGCCCATAGGGAGGCAGCATGGTCTACTGAATAGGACAGAGGGCTGGGAGTCACGAGACAATGGGTTCTTTTGGTAGCTCTTCCACCATGTAACCTTAGGCAAATTGTTTCACCTCTGTATAATTGAGGACATTTGAATTCCATGAAGATGGACATGGCATAAGAACCTGAATAAAGACAGAATAGGCCCTAGAATGTCAATCTTTTGCTGGCTGTTTTCAGAGTATGGTGCAAAGCCCAGTTACTTCAGTTGCTCTATTCTTGACCTTTTTGGCACTCCTTCTCTCCCTCCACCCTTCATTCTTTGCGCCAATGGACAACTGATCCCTTTTGTTGATGAAGATTTCTCTGCTTTGTGGGAACATCGTTGTGTCTGATTTGATTATTGTTGTCTTTCAGATTTTTAGACTATTTTGATGGTGGTTGAATGCCTCAGAGTCAATTAAGTAAAATTCAACTTGTACTGTATGACAAAATTATTATGTATCAAGCTATTCACCCCAGCCACTTGGTGCTTTCTTGAGCAATCCTTTACAGAATAGTGGTTGTTACAGGTTGAGAGATGTCTCAACTGACTTTGAGAAGCAGGGCAATGAGGCAACAACATTTCCCCCTTAACATGTTACAAAGCTTCCCCCCACTTTCTCTGCACCACAAAAATCAGCTCAGATGGCAGAACTAAACCAAGCTCCCTTCAATCCTCCTTTAATGCCTTCTTGATGGACCAGCAGGTATTGACTTTATCTCCTTCAGAAACACAGGAATTTAACCTTCTTCAGGAAAGTTGATGGTGTCTCTGTGCATACAGCTAATTATGAGGGGGTTCTGAGAGAAGAAGGAAAAAAGCAAGTAAAAACTGCTTCCGAGCAAAAGCACTACATGCCAAAAACCCATACTGAATATTTACAACCAGGTGACACTAATAAGCAACACATGCTCCATGTTTTGCTTGGACTAGCACTGGAGAAGAAACACTAGGTTCATCCCCTAGTATGTCTGTGACTGAATGCACTCCTATATTCACACCCTACACACCATAGTAATAATTTTTGTACAAAGTATGCCTTGTATGGTTGTGACAGTCTGTACCCCTATGTTCACCCCCTTTATAGGACTATGATAAATCTTGTACAAAGCATGCCTTGTGAGTATCACTTTAAAACTCATAATTTGCTGTTCATTATTGTTCTAGTAAAATATATGTGGCAACATTGTATGTAAAGCTATAAGATACTACTATATGATGTTACTAAGACATATTCCAAATCTGGAGAACTGTCACAATCTGGTTCTCCAGAGATAAAAGGCTAGCCAATGCCTCATCCAGGTGTCAATAAGATCAAATGGGCCTGGTTAAGTTGCCTTTCTTTGGCAGGAAAGCGGGTGTGGGTAAAAAACCCCTACATCTTGACAAAGGAGCAGCTGGGAGTTTCCATTCACACAGACTTTCTGTCTCCTGAACTTTAGCTGGAGATGACAAAAAAAAGAGAAGGATCTATAAGAAAGGAGAGATGTCCAAAGTAATCTCTCTCTTTCTCTCTACCCATGGCATCAACAGCACTTGAAGAACAAAGGAAGCAGCATAGGACTGGGGAGGGATCCTGACTGAAAGAGTTTCAGCCAGTAAGACTGTTGGAACTTGTGGTGAGAGAGACCTTTGCCGTGAATTCACTCTAGCTTGTTAAGTTAGCCATTAGTTGTGTTTTACTTTTATTTTCTTGTAACCAATTCTGACTTTTATGCCTCATTACTTGTAGTCACTTAAAATCTCTCTTTCTGTAGTTATTAAGCTTGTTTTACTGTTATCTAAACCAGTGTGTTTGGGAAAATCCATTTGAGATAACAAGATTCATGAGTATCATTTTCTATTAATAAAATGATGGAGTTTATATGAGCTTGTATTGTCCAGGTGAGGGCTGGGCAGTACAACACATACATTTCTGGGAGAAAGTCTGGAACTGGGAATTTGCTGGTGTTGCTCTGTAGTATAATTCATGAGCGACTGGCTATAGCACTCATACTCCATAGCTGGGAGTAACTTACATGCTGGAGGCTGTATGTGAGCAGACCAGGAGTGGTAGTTCTCACGGCGAAACAGTGTATAAGGCACCCCAGGTTGGAGAATTGAGGGGACACAGCTGTTCATAAGTTCAGATTGTACCCTGGGTAATGTCACAAAGGTATCACTAATAACTCTCTGGTCAATAACATCATGGTGAAATGGCTACAGCAGCATTGTATGTAAAGTTATGAATATAAGCTGAAATCATGACTGAAGATGTTTACCAGACAAGTCTGGGAAGTGGGTAAACCTGTATCTCAGAGACAAAGGACAAGGTGAGACTTCTTGCCAGGTGTCATTAAAACTGATGGCCAATCATCTGTCAAGTGGCCATTCTTTGGCAAGGAATGGGTCAGGAACAAACAGATTTGAATCTTAGCAAACAACAGCATGAAATCTCTTTCATCAAAGATTCCTTGTCTCTATCCTCACAGCAGGAATGAACTTTATCTAGGGTAATCCTCAGGAAAATGCATTTCAAAGGGTGACTGACCTATACAAGTCAGGGCCCAAAACACCCCAAGTTCTCTCTCCCTATTTATCTTCACCTAAGATGACAAAAGAAACAGTCTTTAGACTTTGGGAGCAGATCCTGGCCTGAGAATTTGGTTTGGGAGCATGTGTTAACAATTTTACCTTGAACCAAGTCTAACTTGTTAAGTTTTAACACTAGAAAACATTTTATCTTCATTTTTCCTGTAACCATTTCTGACTTTAAGGCCTTATACTTGTACTCACTTAATCTCTCTCTCTCTCTCTTTGTAGTTAAATAAACTTGTTTTATTCTTTAATCAAATCTAATCCGGTGTTGCATTAAAATTGAACTGTATGGGTAACTCCATTTAAAATAGCAAACTACTGGATATTGATCCTCTTAGAGGGGCAATGGACCTAAAATATCTGAACTGTCCAGGAGAGGGCTAGACAGTACAGAGTACGCGTTTTGTGGGAAAATTCGGGACTGGGAGTGTGTTGGGGTTGCCCTATAAGTGGTAACCAAGGCTGGTGGAAACCAGAGTGTGACTGGAGTATGATGGCAGGCTGCAGCTATACACAGACACTCAGGGTGTGCTCCGCCTGCTGCTGGCTGTTTGTGAGGGGCTCAGGTTGGGAACTACAGCGGCAAAACATCATGAGGCACCGCTGGTTGCAAGGCAGGTGGTGACACAGCTCCGCACTGGTCTGGACAGCACACTAGAATGTCATAATGTCATACAAACATGGCAGCTAAAGAACAGTGGTTTAATGTACATATACAACCATCTGATTTAGAATTTTTAACACAGAAGACAATGCAAATGACATAGAATGCACATGTGCCTTTGTGGCTACAGTGATGAAGTTAAACAGCAAATGCTCAGTTGGGCTTTAGTTCAGTCCAATTAGTTTAGCAATAGCTACTAAGGTAATAACTTCAGCATTGCAGGTTTTATCTTTGCAGATCTGTATTAGAAAAGAATATGCAAGTTTATTCTAAATTGTCTTTAAAAATACAGTAGCATGAACCACAGACACACTGTTCCTTCTTCTCCCATTAGGCCATACACAATGTTTGAGATGATGGCCCAAAGAAAAAACATTGCTATCCCATGGGGGAGTAGGAATCGTTTTGGGTGGAAGGAGACGAAATTAAACAGTGTGGGAAATAAGTGTATGTAAAGGTCTATGGTCAACTGGAATAAATATTCTATCAAATAAAGGTAAGTTATTTTAGCCTATTGTGGCCACAATTTATAGTGGCCTTACAAAACAGGTTCTATGATGGTGCGAGGATTTGTGCCTTCCTATTAAGATGCAAAGAAAGTTTACGACTGACAATACATTCTGTATATTTTAGCACAGGAGAGAGAAGTTACAATATTCTCTTTGGCCAGGATCAAGAGTTAACTACATTCTTGGTCACCTTTCTCCCCAGTGTACATGATTCCATCACTGTGACACTGATGATTTGCCTCAAGAAAGTGTGAGAAAAAGCACATACTGAGGTAAAACTACCAACTGTACGAAAAGCAAAACTGAACAAAAAAATTGAGTTTAAGTATTCTGGATGTGACTGATTTAGAAAAGATAGTTGGAAATCAACCCCCCCCCCTTCTTTTAAATAGACCCATTCTGGAATAGAGAAACTCCGGCAGCTTTGTGAGGCCACAAGATATCACCCCCAGTTGAAGGCCTTAACCTTCAGGAATCCTAAAAAGACCCTTCTCAATTAACATACGTCATCTTTTTGCGAATATAGGTAAAATAGCAACATCAACTTTCTCCCTCTCAACCCCGCAGTCCCTGAAGTCATGGGGTAGGCCAGCAGCTGTTCATATGTAAACTTGCAATTGAATTTTATTTATTTCAAAATATTAAATATAGAAGTTGGACATCACATGCACGTGCACCACAGTGCAAAACACAAAACCCATGTGTTATGCCTTCTTCTTTCTCACTCTTCTATAATACTTCTTGTGTTAGAAACACTGACCAAACTGCTCCTAAGCTCACCTTTTGATTGAGGGGGGAGGTGTGTTTCTGATGTTTATAGAACACCAGTTACTACAGTATTTCCCTTTCCACTCTGGGGAATGTGCAGAGCACTAACCAGAAGAAGTAAAGCAGAAATGAAAATGGAGCAGGGAAGACAGACCATGACTGTGGAGATCTATGCTTACCACATACTGTTTTGCGAACAGAAGTGCTGGATATATCCATTTGTTTTAACTTTTAAAATGGTACACAACATCCAACACATTCTGGTCTGCAAAGCAAGCATCTGGTTGGATTCCTGAAGTTTAGGAAATAAATGCACAAGCTTTACAAGCCACCTGGGGACATTTTTAGTGTTTACTATTCGGCATCATCACTGCCTCCTTTCTCCTGGTCTCCAGTAATTTGCTGTGTTTGTACAAAGAAATACTAACTATAATCCAGACTTCTGTAGCACCACTGGTCACCATTTCAGAGGTTGGTTAATTTTAATAAGATAAACTCTGATAATCTATACATGTCAAGGAGAGGAGGAGATTTTTTTCAAAAGTGCCTAAGTGAGTGTGGAGCACAGGTCCCATTGGCTTTCAGTGGACTGTGGCACTTAAGTGCTTTAGAAAATGTCACCCTGGGTCATTAGGTTTATCCCTGCACCCTCTTGAATGCATTTACACACATCTTCCTGGTGATATGTTAAGCCAGGGATCCTAAATACAATCCTAAATCCTGTGGTATTTACCACTCCAAGCCACATGTGACCTGGCCAAATTACAGTGCTGGACAACTAGATTCTGCTTAAGTTCTCAAGTAGTTTTAATAGGATACATCAGTCTTCACTCTGCCATATCACATATATGCAGTGTTGCTTTGTGTGTGAAAAAGCTTCCAGGTTATACTTAGAGGTGGTTGCACTGCAGTGACTGGAAGAAATATCTAGTTGGTAATTTATTTTAAGATCTCATCTATATACATTTAAATCTATTTCCTATGATGCACCCTCTGCAACATCATGACTGAGAAATCAGTACCTGGATTTTAATGTGTAGGATATTCAGAAAATTCTCTTGAAGCCAAAAACAGACTGGCCCCTTTTTTGGACTTTATCAGACTTTTAATAAACAAAAAATTGATTTGTATCCTAGTTTGAAAGTGTCAACTTACCTGCATTGAAATGAGAATGAAATCAATTAGGCTACCAATTCCACAAAACCCTACAGTGCAGAACTTTAACAAACCTAGAAAGGAAAATAAGACTTAATTACAGCCTTAAGCAATTCTCTATAAAGTTTATGGAACTTTACAGTTTCCAGGTGCATAGGCATTTCCCCCCCATCTCCTCCCCGCCCCGCACAGACCATTTTAGCATGAGAGTGAAATTAACACAAGAATATTTTCCTTAATTATCAGAGTCTTTGTTTTTACATTTATGCACCAACCTGTAAAGAAACTTGCTTAGTTTAAAAGATTTAAATACAAAATGATTTTAACAGACACAATTCTGAGAAAAGGAAGAGAATGAACATATTACTGTCAACTTAAATTACTGAGTTTTTCCTTTCTCTTGCTAGATGCACAGTTAATCTTAAAACAAAGAAATCTTTGCGCACTGGAGCTCCAAAACTTATTTTAACATGAAACACTTTCTACTGTCTCAAGTTGTAGAACATACTAATTAGACTTTGGAAACAGCTGCTGCATTACATGCTGGGTTTGAATATTGTTCTCATTGCTAGTGTATACAATACTAATCTTTAAGGGGTTGCCAACACTGTAGATACTTTTCTAGGAACTTTAATGTATTCATTCTAAATGCAGTGGAATATGTCTGTAAGTGACTAACAAATGATTGTTTCATTGAGATGATTTTCCATTAAAGGTCAGGCAGAACTGTAATAAAATGTGGAGATACTTAGAGGCTGTCTTTAGAAGCAGAAGGCTGCCTTAAATAGTTTATTGTTCAGATTTCATTGTATGTGAACATTGTAAAAATTTCAAAAGCATCAAAGTGACTTAAGAAGCTTAAACCCCAAGGACTTTCAATGAAGCTTAAGGGGCTAAGTTACTTTTGAAAATGAGTGTCAGTCTCCTAAGTCACTTAGGCTTGTCAGAAAATTTTATCCAAGATTAGAAAGTGTGAAAAGGAATGTTTGTCTTTAACTAGGTCAAGTTAATTGTAGGATATTGTATGGGGAGAACTGTGCTGTCTTTAGCAGGGAATACAAGTTTATACCTGTGTGTAAAATGCACAGCACACTTTGGATGCAACAGAAATCAACATGCTGGAAATACAGGATACACAGAGATAGCTATATTGTTAACAAAGTTGAAAAATGGAGACCTAATAATGAGTATGTGACTCTTGACCAAGAGGAAGAAAAACTGTTAGCAGGACGGCCTTCCAATGGACCAAAAATAATTTCGCTATGACACTATAATATGAAATGGTGTCAATCAATGAAGCCCACAAGTCATGTTATATATACAAAATTATAAATACATAAATGTTTAAAACAAATTGTTCTCAGTGGTTGGTATCTGGGACTTGCAGCAGCCAAGCATTTTAAGCTTTGCCATCAGTATTGGCTGTAGTGTCAAAAAACATAAGGGCAACAGCCAGCAAAACAAATGCCAGCAACAGGGGACAACACTGCTGAGCTAGGACTAAAATGATGCATGCCAATTTCTCTGGTAAATACTAGAGTACCAAATTTATTATCTTTGCAACTGGAGCATTCCCCACCCAAAGTATTCATGGATAACTCTCCCATCTTTTGTCATGCTCTCAATACATATTCTGAACCCCACTGGAAGTTGGTATTTTAGGGACCCAACAAGCCACTTTCACCCCACCATCTGTACTGGTGTCAGAAGCAGAGATAGTAGCTCCAAGTGTGTAAGCACTTTATGTATGGAATTAGCTGCAAGATTTTATCATTCTAGTCACTTTCATTCTCCATTATTGGTTGTAGAAACACTTATTGAGCCCAATTTTTGCTTTGGGGAGTATGGGGAGGAAATGCAGGAAAGGAAGCAAAGACAGAAAGGAGGAAGAAAAAATAAACGAACAGTGGAAGTGACCAAATAATTGTAAGGATAGAGGGGGAAAAAACAGGCCATTATATCACAAAAATTGTGGGTTATTTAAATTTAAGGGGAGGAACTCCAAACCCGTCTTCCATGTAACAAACGAACTTTTTCATCTGTATTCAGTAGTTTGGATGAACCAATGCTCCCTCTAAACACAGCAGAGGGAAGTATATGTCTGCAAGAGTGTTTGTAATTTTCACCACATTTCTGCAAAATATTTCAGCACTATTTACTGTTTAGTTCTGCTTCTGTCAGGGAATGGATGATCCCAAATAAACTGACTGTTGACAAGCAAGCCATTGTATTGATTTTATATAAAAAATGCTGCAACCCCACTGCCCATCCCCCAACCATATTCTGAATATCAACAATGACACTTGGTAAAGGATTAGAATTTTGCAACAACCCATTCACTAATCAAACTTCAGACTTTCTACAGGAACAACTATCGTGGCTATAGGTCTTGATGCTTTAAAGGTTTGAGCCTTTGATTATTGAAGTAAAAAAGCCTGGGAACTTATAGTTAAATCCATCCTAAGTGAGGAAAAGATATCAGAAAAATTAGGGTGGATGTCTTTGGAGCTAAAAATCCTGAATTACAGTTTTTAAAAATGACTACCATAAAGCACAAGGGTAATTGAATTTTCGTGAACCTGAGAAATTTTGGGGATTATTGCCCTTCTGGATAATGTAAGATGCTCAAGGCTCTTGGAAGATATGCAATGCCAGCCACGCGTCGACTGGAATCAACCTTCAGCCCGTGCTGAGGGCACCTGGGACCTGGTTCCATAGCTCAGGGGTTAGAGCATTGGACTTGTAAACCAGGGCTCACAAGTGCAAACCTCACTGGGGCCTGAGCAGCAGTTTCTGGCTGGGCCTGTTGTCCCACCTCTCAAATTGCAAGTGTAGATTTAATATGGATTATACTAATGTGTAGAAGAGGAGAAAGTATTTTATCTGGAGACTAAAAAGAAATCTAAGACTGAAACAGGACTACACTTATTTCCTTTACAAGTGAATAGTGTTACTTATTTGTAGCTATAAATTAATTTTTTTAATTAATTAAAAACCAGTCAGTTTATTTGGGATCATGCAAGAAATAAGAGCATATGGGGGGGGAGGGGAAGTGCTCTATGAGTTTCAGAACATCTTGTAAGCAAAGCACCTGAAGAACACTGGAATTGCCATACATGATCAGACTAGTCCAGTAGCCTAACAGTGGCTAACACCAACGGCTTCAGAAAAAGGTGCAAGATGCCCTACAGAGAAAGTCTCTTCCTAACACAATTGGTTAGAGATTGGCTAAAGTCCTGAAGCATAAAGGTTTACTTTCCTTCAGGGTGGATAAAAATCAATTATTTTAAAAAAATTATCGGATTTTTTAAATTTAAATCAGATTTTTTTTTATAAAATGCTTTTTGAAGAAAAAAAGATAAAGATACATTATAACTCAAAGATATCTCATCATGGAATAGGGATTATAAATTCTATAGTATGAAACAATATATTCATGTAATGTTTAAGAAAAGTTTTGTAAATGAGTTCCAATAGTTCATGGATTAGGGACCCAATTTTATGGGGTTCCAGGGGCTTCTGTATAGATTATTTAGGTTAATCTTTCTATCTACCCAATGGGACTCCGTGCTCAGTCTAGAAGATGACATCAGAGATGCTTAGTTTTGCAGTTCTCAAACTGTGGATTTGTGTCTCCAGAGAAAACATGCTTGTTAACTGCAAAAATGTTTTCAAATAAATAAATAATATATAGAGGTGAGAAATAACAGACCTCAACCGTATTGTCCCTCTGCAAATTTGTGTACACAGAGTCAATCCCTTACCTCTCTAAAAGTGAAAGGTTTCAAAAAGTTCAATGAATAGAAGATTGTTGGGGGCGGAATAGATCTGGACAAGGAAAAGAAGTCTGGAAATAAATGTGAGAAGGGAGGGACAGGTAGTAGAAACAAAAGTGAAACTGTTTGAGCAGCATATTCCAGAAGTCTTGAGGTCTTTCTGAGTGTAGCCTTCATTGATTTGAGATCTTCCATACCATTCTCTTACTAGAAGGGAAAACCTATAATGGCAGCAGGCTGTAAAAGAGACCCAGTTTGGGAATAAGAACCATTCAAGAAATATATGTTTGCTGATGTTGTTTTAAAGGAAGTCACATCGGTGAACTGGTGGAAGTTACATAAGCACTTGGATTCAGAGACTGTTGAAGTGATAATCTCACTTTTAACAGCAGTAGCTTCTGCCATGTAGAAAGAATATTTTCTTCCTTTGGACTAATTTGTTCCAAATTGAGAAATTGTTTGGGACCTGTAAAAGCAGGAAAGCTTGTTTTTCTTTTCCAGATTATGAACAAACAGGAAAATGAAGGTGAAGACGATGGAGTTAGCTGCAGAAGCCAATGTTTTAAGTTTCTCACGTTGACCTGGCTGACATAGTCGATTTAATTTTTGTTTTGTTTTTTAAATATTTCATTTAACTATTTTAGTTAAAAACAATTTTAACAAAAACAAACCTGATTTTAAAAAACTTGAATGTTTAACTAAATTCAAAAATTCATATGCTTGTTTTGTTAAAATATTATATGTTTGCTGTTGAAGAAAAAAATCCAGAATATATAACATTGTTGGTTTAGTTAAATAAAACAATTTAAATGTCTGTCTGGTGATGTTGTCCTCCTAATACAGCATGGCAAGAAAATCCTCCAAATATTAATGATTAACCTGTTGAATTGGAGATAGTTCATCTCCCAATGACTTCAAAATATCTGCTTCAATTACCTTTGGTAAAAGAAATGACCAAACAATCATTCATTTTCTGATATAGCTGTAAAACTAATCTGAAAAGTTTTTGAAATAAATCACTTTAAAAATGTATAGTGTGTACCTTCTAAAAATGAAACCTACATCTATCTCTGAGTTCTGAAGAATATGTATTAAGGTTATAACAACCAACAAGAATGCACTTTTATGTAGAAATCCATGATTAAATCAAGTCTTTTTAAATCATGATTTAAATCAATTTGATTTAAATCAAATCCACCCCGCTTTCCTTACAAAACGTTAGATGTTTCCGCTATCCATACAACTTTTTGGCTTCAATGGGTATGTCTACACTGCAATTAAAATCTCCCCGGCCGGCCCGCGCCAGATGACTCAGGCTCGCAGGACCTCAGAGCCCTGGCTCCAGCCGAAGCCTCTACACTGCAAGTAAACACATGTTAACTAGAAATTTTTTCCCCCCTGTAGAGGTAAGAGCAAAGAACCTTTGATAGCTCATTAAAAATGGAGGATTGTTGCAGGATTGCAAGATGTTTAGAAGTCTGGACAGTACGGGTGTTGTGTACTCTGTACTAACTCTTCACAATGATGTAGTCAATGCTATTCACTGCCAAAAAATAAACTTTATTTTAGACCTAAAATGTTAAGTTAGAGGTCTGGATTTTTTGATACTCATCTAAAACTGAATTACAGTATTCTCATATTTGGGGAGAGGGAGAATAAAGTTTCTGAATGAAGGCTTATGCAATTTTAGCTTGAAGCCTTGTTTGTTTGTATGGCCAAATGGAAATATGGAGGTTTACAAGTAAAGTTCAAATCCTAATTTAAATCCCAAGTGAGACTGAGTTTGGTGGTCTCACAAACACAAAACATGAATTGGTACTATATGGCACCATGGACCCCCTTGAGAACAGACTAACAAAGATGGAAATAGCAGGGGGCTTACAGCTCAGAAGAAAGGTGCATCAGCAAAGCTGCATGGGGAAGCTTTCACAATGCCCGGCTAAAGCCAATGCTTTATTTCTCCATCTTCATGAGAATTAAATTCACTCAATTAAAGAGGAAATACCTTAGAGTGAAAGCCTTTGCCATACTATTTATCTAACAACAGGAGACTATTATTTTGTGACATCCTATTTTGCCAGTTTCTTGAAGCAAGAAAAACTGGTTTATAGTCTGCCTTTGTATTGTCAGGATTTATACCATCTTGTTAAAAAATGGTATCTGTTGTATGTAGAAAGGTCAGTGAGGAAAATCGATGTGTGCTCCAGCTTTTAAAGTACCATGCAAAGCAAATGCATGTATCTTGTCTTTAAAGGCAATGTGCCAAATAAACACATTTACAAAGTAGTAAGCACTATACAGCTTCATATAAGGATAGTCTATGAATGACAGTTTTTTCAAAATATGAATTCAACAACAATATATATTGTGGTAAAAGAAGAAAAACAACAACTAATTTTTAAGGTAACCTGCTGCTTTGCAGGTCAGCTCCTAAACGTAATTTGCAGGAATTTAATATTTAAGAGGTATCTTGTTTGACAAAGCACAAGAATTCTCTACAAGAAGTTGTGTGATTAGTTACCAGTATTCTTTTTGCTTCATTCCTCTCAATCCTTTCAGAGGGAACAGCTTCCAAGCTTTATAAGAGCTTATCTTGCAAATATTTTAATTGTGGCTAATATCTGTGTACTATATTTCAGGTCCGATTGGTAATTTAAGTGTAATACATATAAGAATTCAAAGCCAAGATTTCAGACATCTGCATTAAAAGTAGTGCACATCCTTATTCTAAGTCCAACTGATAAAATAAGAAAATATTTGTATTTTGAAACATTTGTTTTACAGAAAGTGGGCATCTAGAGTTATCAATTGCCTCTAAAAAAAAAAAAAAGGATCTTAGAAGATCTAATGTTTTTATGCAAATATAAATGTGCAAAATAAAAATGTGCTAATTATTGCATGTCAGAAAAAAAGGCCACGGAGGTTAACACAGAATTATCCATCAGAACAGAGAGCATTATTAGAAAAACATCACTTCATATTTAGCAGACAGAAACTCAAAGATCCCAGTTGAAGCAGTACTAGTGTACTTAGCTTCACCAGTCCATTACATCATGCAATCTAGAGCTATACAAAAAAGGCAACTGTTTGTAACATACTGAGAAACTAATGAAGCTTAGACAGAGAGTTTCTTACAATATAGTGAAGGTAATTCTAGCAGAATAAGATTTATGTGTACCTTAAAAAGCCATCATCATTTTCTTCATCCTGTGGATAAATCTGGCAAACACTATCTGAGGTAATTTTTATCACTGTGGGAAGTCCTATTAAAGCCAATAGCTTCAAACAGAATTAACAATAGTAAGCACTATCCTGAGTGGTAAGTGTTTGCAGGATCAGGTCCCATATTCTGTTCATGTTTACTTGTTTTTGTACATATAAGATTAGGATCTGGTCATGCAGATTTAGATATGACACACTTATCTATACATGTTTAGATACATGTCCAGAAATCTATAGGTTATTTCTAGTACTTCGTTTTCAAAACCAGTGGAAAGCAATCTGTAAATACCTTGAGTATCTTCAAAAAAGTTAGAAACAAGCAATTTAAAAATAACCTGAAATGATTGCAAGAGTGAAACTCTTACAATAGATTTTCTAAAATCAGTATCTTAACTAATTTCATCTAAAAGGTGGCAACTTTTTTGGTTGGGAATTTAAATATCTTAGTGGAAAGCACAACAATCAAATAGACATTAGTTTACATATTAGTAATTTTCATAGAAATAAAAAGAATTATGACAATGTATTTTGAAATAGAAAATATTACCTGAAATTGAAGATCACTACAGTTATTAATTTAAAATGTTACATATCCAGAATGGTTAATACAACATATTCAGTAAGATTTAAGGAAATGATCAGCTAAGACGTTGTAGAAAGTCATACATTCTCTTAAACGTAGACATGGGGAAATTCACACCAGATATTCCATCTTAACTTTGACCCTCAAGACATAGCTTATATAGCATTATATTGTGCAAGTTCCACAAAGACATTTAACTCATTTCAGCACACACATCGCTAATGTATAGTAACAGACTTACATTGAACTACAAGAATATATATCAAGTTCTATTTCACACACATTCTAACTGCAGAACATTAATTATATTATTCAGACACTAAGCACTGTTTTGAATTTAAAATGGGTATTTAGATAAGACATTATTATGGTTACAGGGCTAGCAGCACTTTTGCCTTTTCTAGTCTCTGAGTGCACTCCTACAGGTAACAGGTCCCATGCCTATATGTCTCCTAGGGTGGAGTTCTGCAGTTCTTGGACGCTTAGGGTGCTGTAGCCCAAGGCCCAAACTGTGTATCAACAATGCTTTCCCAGCAGGTCCAAATGGGTTTGGCACCTGCGGTTCTTCCTTTCAGGACTCTGTGGCCAGTGGTATTCAGTGACCAAAAAGCCTACTTAAAATTAAAATATTTGTTTATTTTAATAGTAGGAATAAAGCATTTTAAAATAGCCTACAAACACATCTACCTTACCCAAAGGCTTAATATCCCCTGATGGCCTAAATTCTTCCAACTCCTGTGTGTCAGTCTGTTCTCCCCAATGGCTCCCCAATAGCTACTGCCCTCCTCATGAAAGTCTTCCTTTTAAACTCTGTCTTTTGATCTTCTGGTTCCCAGGCCTTTTCCTATCCAGCACTGTCTCTTAACAGCCCTTGAGCGCTGAGAGAAAGTGGCTTATCTTGAACAATTCTTTTCTTTTCTGCTGGTTTTCCTTCTAGCTCCCTACTGAACTCAACCAATATATTCACACAGAAAGCATCCCAACAACCAGGTCAGCATAAACAATATTCATAAATTACAGAGCAGCTCCATTTCTGTCACACACATCTTCCTACAGTATATCTTCTACTATATAAAATATGTAATACTTAGAATACCCATAACTGATTCATAGCCTTTATACAACTGATTTCCTACACCGTGCTATAAGTTATATAAATTGTTAACCTGTACTGTGTAAAAGTAAATAAGGCATCAGTTAAGATTATTATTGGAAAGTTTACTGCGACTTTTCAGAGCTGTTTTTTTTAAGTGACTGCACAGAATTGAAGAACATTTATTATTATAACTGATATTTCTTGGGTTTTGACAGCTGAATTTTCTCAGTATACATTTTTGTAATGAGAATATTACTTACTGAAACAACTTAAAATCATTACACTACTCTGATCACCTTTTTAGTCACAGGCACTTGGACTGTTACCCAGGGATCCCCATCATGAAGGACAAAAGAGCGGAGGCCACATTGACTCTCTCAACAGCATTGTCCAAAGTCAGTCTTGGGGTAGGCAAGCTCAATTCCCATAATTAATGCTTAACCATAACATATATTTTCTCATCAACAGATCTCAAACAATTCCACAACAGAGGGAATACGGCTCAGAAAGGTTAAGTGATTAGCGCAAATTCATACAATAGACGGGCAGCAAAGCTGAGAACAGAACATAGGCTTGCTGACTGTCAATCACATGCCCTATCCCCTGAACTACAGCACCCTCCCCTTTGTCACTACTAAGTTCAAGAGGAGTTATGTCCACTTAAATCAGGTCGGGATTTGGCCACAGAGCCATTCTAAACAGCTAAAACATGGACATGGTTCATTGCAAAAGGCTTTGCTTTTAAAGTGAGATGAGTACACTAGTTAGTGGATTTGAAAACACTGAGAATCAGAAGTCAGTAGTTAAGACATAAGTATGCGTGTAAACTGGAGTCATATAGAATTAACGTTTTATTATTTAAAATCAAAACAAGAAAAAAAACTCACCTAAGGCAGGATACCCAAGATAAAATCTATCTGCTCCCAACCATCCAAGAAATAAAGACAGAGCCACTGCCACTTTGTATGAGTAACCATTTCTGCCAAAAGACACAAGTAAAGATGACTGTGGTGGAAACAAGATATTAAGTTGTGTATATTCTGAATAATTAAATTAGAAATGACAGTCAATTGCCTAGTAAGTTTCCTTTTATGAAAGAGAAGACTTGTGTTGTTTAGCTTACACAATTTTAACTTAGTCTTCAATAATTCAACATTAAAAAACTAGTATAATACTATTATCTGTGTAGACATCCACTGTAACATGGACCTCAAGAGTGTACTTGGGCTCCAGCAGAATTTCCATCCTTTTTCTTAAAGTGGATTATCATTCTCGTTCAAACAAGACATGAGCCAGCTGTTGACACAATCCTAAGTTTCTAGAGTATTTTCCTATCCACTTGTGCATTCTGGGGCACAATTGATTGAAAAGCCCCAGAGTTGCACCAAATGCGCCTGGTAGGGTCAGTTCCAGGGCCAAACAGTGAAACAGGAAGCAGGGCCGGCTCCAGCTTTTTTGCTGCCCCAAGCGGCGAAGAAAAAAAAAAAAGCAGCGATCGGCGGCACTTTGGCAGCTGCTCTACCAAGCCGCTTCGTTCTTCGGCGGCCGGTCCTTCCCTCCAAGGGACTGAGGGACCCTCCGTAGACCTGGATGTGCCACCCCCTTCCATGGGCCGCCCCAAGCACCTGCTTGCTGCGCTGGTGCCGGCCCTGACAGGAAGTGTACTGGGCCAGATGAGGTATCAGCTAAGGTAGGCATTCATCAATGAGATTTGGGGAAGAAGTCAGCACTGGCCCATTGGTGAAAGTTGTGGGAGCAGCCTCGGATGAGGAAAGGGTCAGATAAGAAAGGAGAAGTATTTAAGATAAGGATACATTTATTTTTAGATTAATCTATCACAAATGAACAAAAGTTGGCTGTACAAAAATGTACTGCTAGCAAAAGATGTCAAAATTACAGCCCTAAAGATGGAGGAAGCCCTTTAGTTATTCACACAGATATGGCACAAGCAGAAGTGAAAGGCTCCCTGGACTCTCTTCTGAGATTGCCAAAAAGAGTGCTACCTAGTATCAACTGTTGTAGTGATGTGGACATGCCCACTGGTAGCTTTCAGTCACTTTTGAAGTGAGCTTAGTGCTAATCAGTGAACCTAGAGATGCTATTCCTCTTAACAATCCCAGAGCCATCCACTGCCACGTTAGGGAAGAACCAGCCTTGGAAAGGGGCAACAGAACCAAGTGTCATTAGAACCTTAAAATATGCAACAATTCACTATTCTGACACTTGCATGGCTAAGTATCAGCAATTAGTGAAAGTGGCCAAAATAAAGTCTTCGACACATACTTGAATAAAAATATTCATTTTCTCAAAGGCAGTGGCCAAGAAGGGATACAAACGCCTTTAATAAATATTTACATTTTTGCTTATTATCTGGCTTTAATGACCCCACTACTGAGATATTTACTCCTTCCACATCCCCCTCCTATTTCACATTCAAAAAACTTCCCTTCTGTTATCCTCTTCCGTCCATAATGAGCAAGTGCTGTTCTTAAAGATCACACCATTTGGTTTGATCTTCTAGTGCCTTTTATCATTTCTCCAAAGACTTATGCCCATGTTTCCCATTTCCCAAGTAATTCCATTGACTCTAACAGAACTCATAGTGCCTAAAGTTAAGCATGTTCAGGGCCTACATACATTATGCAGAAAAGAACATGCCATGCCAATTTAGAGCACTCCTGGATTTGGAAACAACCCTTTCATATGGGAGCAATCAAGGAAAAGACTCCCAATCTTTCTTGGTGGAGCACTCTAATGCAGAGTTCACAAGCTTTTCTTTGAGATACTATGGAAGTCACTTGTTCAAAGTATGCCTGTTTACATACACACACCAAGCAGCTGTATCAACTTTATTCAACAGCAACACAGAGAGATAGCTTTATCTAGTGGACTGACATACTGTTGAGACTCTAGCTCTGAGTTCTAATAATTGATCTGCTACTTAAGATTTGTCTACAGGGTGCTTTAGTCTGTACCAGAGGGGTGTAAAATTTTAGCCCATTCTAGCATATCATACACTAACTGGCCTGTGTGAACCCTGCTGGCATGCACTAAAAATTCCCTAGTGCATATTCATGTAGTACTGTTTGAAATGGGACTAGATTAATAGACCCTATTGAACTTTTAGTGCATTCCAGCAATGTCACACAGGCCAGTTAGTGGACAACATGCTAGTGTGGACTAAAATTTACATCACTCTTGTGCAGACTAAAACACCGTGTAGACAAGTCCTAAATTGTGGACTTGAGCAAGGCACAACCTCTGGTTCTCCACCATCCCATCTTTAAGATATAACAATACTTAACTGCTTCAGAGAACTCACTGATGTTTGCACAATTTGAAAGTGACAGATGTTATATAAATATCAATATGAGAATTCCATCACTTTAAAAAGTTATTTCTGAATACAATTTTCTTGTTTTAAATTCCGTTCACTTCTTTCTAGTAGAGGACAGTCAAGTTCTCCAACAAAACTCAAATGAGGCACTGAAAAAGCTCAGAAAAGCACCTGGAGTGATGGTTAGGTTTACTGTTGTAATATCAAATACCTGTGTAGAATAATGTTACCATGACTTAAGGGATAAAAATGGCCTTATAACAGACTGGTAATGGTTTTAACTATGCAGATATTCATTATAACTACCTGTATATAGACTTGACAACTTGTTACACCTATGAAAGTTGGGAATATTAAGGAATTTACCCTTCCTAGAAATGACAGCACACTACATGCTTTGTGACATTTTTCAAGAGTGCATGCAAAACTCTGCCTGTAGCCACAGCTGAAATTTACAAGAGTTTTAAACAACTCAGCTAAAAGCTGCTTTCCTGTATAAATAGTCATGGGAATGGTGAAGCCAGGGAAATTCTTTTAAGTAATCATGGGAAGAAAACTGCTTTTAGTACCTAGCTGAGAGGTAGCACAGGAGGACTTTTCCAATTTCATTTCTTGAATTTTTAGTTCCCAGTTGTGAACCCAATAAACATTTAACAAGCACAATACTGGAAATAATATTAATTCAGAAAAATCTAACAAGGGGAAAACCACCCTAGGAATTGCTTTATATTCCAATTAGGGAGGAGGGGAGAAAATTCTACTGCATTAGGCTAGATTTCATCTTGTTCTCCGGCTTCCATCACAGATGTGGCAGAGAGCAATAATTCTGATAGAAAGTGGTGGTCACAATTAACTAAGCTAGCAGTTTACTGTGGCTTGCTAAAATAATATGTTGGCCTTCGGTGTGTTGAGTTTAGACTGTCCAGCAAAATAAGTATAGAGAAATTAGTGGTGGAACTGGACTGAGCTACACTACACTAACATTTCACAAGAAGGTGGCTGAGATAAGCAAACTGATGAATAATAAGAATATCAAGTTAGCGGGAACTGGCTTTCCCACTAGTGATGTAGGCAAAGTTCAGCTAGGATTGCTGGAGCTACGATTTCCTAAGATTCTGCAGCTGGACAACAAAAAAGACCAACTTTATAAAGAAAAGGCCTCCAGGATTGCAGTAAAGAGGAGAAACAAAGAACATTGATAAGTGTACTGTCATCTTTAGTGTTCAATATTGAAGAGTAAAAATAATAATTGCAGTGCTTAGAAAGAATCCAGACAACACTCTGCACGGTTCACAATCTGTATGTAGAACTAAGTCAGTTGAGTCATCTTCACGGATCTGACGATCAGGCCCTTTAGAATGAAAAATGTGTGTTTGTAGACATCAAGTCACTCAAGAGAAGAGGTGAGAATTGGTTCCCCTAAAATGGATATTTAGGACTGCTGGAACAAGGTTTCAGTCCTTCTAAAGTTCACATTTTCCATGACAAGAAGCATTTCTGTTTCAGGACAATTGTTCAGCAGAGTAGCTATTAACAGAATCAAAGGCTTACGCTATGTCTACACTGCAATCAAAGGTGTGATTTGCATCACAGGTAGGCATGCCTGCACTAGCTATAATCTATTTGGGATGCTAAAAACAGCAGTAAAGACACAGTCCCATGTACTTTAGAGTGGGCTGTACAAGCCTGCTTGGTACCCTACAGTACGCACTTACATTACTAGCTTGTGCTGAAGCCCATGCTGCGGTGTCTTCACTGCTATTTACAGTGTGTTAGATAATTTAAATCTAGCATGGGTATGCCTACCAGATCTGCAAATCACACCTTCGACTGCAGTATAGATACCCTCAGAAGCAATATCAAAGAAAAAAAAAATCTAGCACAAAGGTAGATTTACTTAAATAATTATACATTTTGCCTTTAAGCAAAATAACAGCTTTGTTAGAACATCTCTCAAGTACCATGCTAGTTAATTTAACATTTGCGATGCAATGTTTCTAATAACTAATTCCTCTCATCTAATATACTGAAACAAAGTAGATTCATCTGTCTTTCCCTTTTCCCTCCTCCCTCTTGCCAACACATGCTACACCATTTAAAATTAGTAACATAAAAACTGAGGCAAACGTATAACAAAGCACAATAATTGACTTACACATTACGACATGCAATAGGTTTGTAAAATCCAACTTCCTTTCCAGTAAAGTTGTTTTCATTGCCACTGTGATCCTTACAAGTAATATTTGGTGCTGGATGACAAGGAACTGAGGACACAATGAGGATTATTTAAATTGAGCTATAACAGGCCATGCACCACGGTACACATTAAGATTCCAAAAACGCAGAGTGAAAGAAATGATAAGTTCTACCTGTCCACTGAAGTGCACACAGGCGCCAACTCCATGGGTGCGCCGGGGCTGGAGCACGACGGGAAAAAGCAGCCCCCCTACCAGAACCTCCCCCTCCCCCCCCCAGCGCCTCCTGCCCACCAGCGGGCCCTGCAGATCCGCGCCTCCCTCTCCCTCCCTATTTCCTGCTGCAGATAAGCTGTTTCGTGGTGTCAGAGGCACAGAGGAGGGGAGCGAGGGCACAGCGTGCTCAGGGAAGTGGGCGGAACTGGGTGGGGAAGGGGTGGAGCAGGGGTGGGAAGAAACAGGGTGGGGTCTTGGGGGAAGGGGTGGAGTGGGGGCGGGGCCTGGGCGGAGCACCCCCTAGCAGATTAGGAATTCGGTGTGTATGGAAGTGCAGACACCCAATACAATACACTGCTGGGTGTGACTGATGACTGGGTCTTTTGAACAGATACTATAACCTGTCTTGCATTAATTTCCCCCCCAGAATAAATGTTAAGCAAACACACAAATCAGATGACTCACCTAAATGTTACAATTTCTAGATCCTTAAAGTTTTCATTTTACTGTGGGAATGGCAGAAACCAGCACAGTCAACTTAAATGTTTTCTCTCTCTATGGTGAAGCATTCTAATTGCTTGAGTGCATTTTATTTGGCCAGTTTCTCCGCATCAAACTAGAGAGAAATACTGTTTTTCTTATTTTAAGTGATAACTGCTAAGGTTAAGAATTAGAAAAAGTGATGTTTCCTAAAGTTTGCAGAACCCCACCTGAGTTCACAACTTGCCACTTTCTAATGCTGAAATCAGGCATTAAGCAGGACAACATTTCAGGTCTTTTTCCTTTATTTTAATTCTGACTTTCAGTACTTGTAAATTATGTCAGCCTGACAAACCTACAGGCCATCGCCTACATTTCTCCACTAATTTCCAAACTTCACTATTGTTCCAATAGCCCCCGGGGCAAGAAGATAGTGTAGCCTTTTTTCTGAGATTGCCACTAGAAATTGGACTGGGACTAAAAACTCAGTTATTAGGCAAGTCTGGTAGGTGGATTCTGAGGCAAAGGTGGACTTTTGAATGCTATGTTAGACCCATTCTGGTTCTGCATGAATGTGTAATGGGCATTGCTCTGTGGGAAACCAAGGTTCAATTCCTACCCTGCCACAAATATCATGTGTGACCTTGGGCAAGTCACTTAAGTCTCTCAATGCCTCAGTTTCTTATCTGTAAGATGGAGATAACAGTACAACTCTATCTCACATGGGTGTTATGAAGATAAATACATTAAAGATTGGCAGGCACTCAGATACTATAGTGATGGGGGGTCATATAAGTCCCGTGGGTTGGTAGGTAGATACAAAGTTGTATTTTTGTTTAAGAAACAAAGAGGTTGAAGGTGGTTTTCTGATCTACTTAAAGAACAGGCAATAATTTATTCAAATGGTAAAAGCCACAGATTATCATCCAAAATGTTGACATCACTAAGGCTCCAATCCTGCAACTCAGTGGGATTACTCATGTACTTGAAGTTAAACATCTGTGTTCACAGGATTGGTGGGGGCTAAAATGGTATTTCAGAATAGGGTCTGGAGCTTCTGGCAACCCCAATGTGATTAGATTATATGGTCACATATGGATTTAACTTTTTATTGAGATGCCACTCTGGAGGAAGAGACAACAGATGTTGCAGGGTCCATTTAGAATAAAAAGGGAGCACATAAATAGTCTGGGATTTTCTTAAAACTGCCTAGAGCTGAGCAAATAATTCACAAAGAACAATTTACTTGGTGAATTAATTTAAAATTAATTAAAATTAATACAAAAAATTAATCTGTTAACCGAATGTCTGAGCTTACAACAACTTCCTGGAGTTTCTTTGTTGTTCAAATTTACTCTGAATTAGCTGTAAATTATTCAATAACTTGTTAGTTGTGACGGGTCTCAAGCCATATAGTATTGTTTCTGTTCACTCTTATAATCAGGAGCAGGGCTTGAAGGAGCATGGACCCCCTCAGAGCAGAGAAGATAATCAGGTTTGCAGAATTTTTTATTTCCAGTTTGTTTCCTGTATACCTGGGCTCAGATCAAGAATTGTCCCTCTGCTGTAATGAGAAATCCTCTCCCCCGCCCACAATATTTAATACTATATCTGTGAATGCTCCACAGTGTAAGCTTGAAATTAGCTTTTTGTAGCCATCTGAGTTAGTAAAATTATCATTCAAATATTTCTGGAAAGTGAATGCCAGAGGCGTACAAACATAGAAAGTGTGTTCAGTTTTAAATTTGAGTGCTCCCAGAACATTTTTTGCATTATTTGCCCAGGTCTATAACTGTCATAGTTCACTACTTCACTCAGCCTGAGAACATCTTACAAGATGAACACTATTCTAAGTGAAATGAGTCACTAATTTAAGTATTTTTACTGGTGACACTCAGGTGACTACCAGGTAATTTAACTCCAAAACACACATATATGTCACCTCCAGAAAAAGATAGCTTAATAACACCAAAAGTCTCCTGTAGTCGAGTGCTCTCTTAAGAAGTCATATCTGAAGAACATGAAGGTCTTCAAAGAGGTTCTATTTTGAAGTTTGTTCTTTTAGTAAATATATACTAAATCTAAGGGGGAGGGATCATTTGTTTTAATTTTTATGAAAGGTAGAAACCTAGAGATTATACATCCCAAGTCGAAGAGATCTACAGAAACCAACCAACTCCCACACCCCCAAAAAAACAAACCAACCCAAACACTAAACAAACTACTGGACTTGGCTCTGCTGATTTCTGCCAGTGTTTTAAGCATTTTATTTAACGCTCTACTGAAAACAAAATAAACCCATACAGGTTCTCTATACTTTCAATGGAACTGCATACAAAATGAATTCAGTAATAATATTGCATTACATTTCAAAATAACCAAGTTGCAGATCTATAAGGGCACGAGTTGAACACGTTCCTTGATAAATTCCTTTGATCAGAATGTATATTAGACTTCTGAAAGCCTTACCGTTTGCTGTGTGATTTGTACAATTCAGTGGTTCTTGTGTGCTATTGTCTATTTTGGGATCTTCACAAATATATGTTCAAATAATTAAGGAAAACCATTTTTTGTACCAAACTCTTAACTGTTCTGTAACTCAATGTACTACACCCTCTTCACCCACCTAGGATTTGAGAGCTCTCAGTTCAGTCAGTTTTCCTTCCCCTAGTCTCATACAGCACTGAAAATAAACAGTAAGCTACTCTCAATCTTAACTATAGCAGAGCTGTTGCTTTGCTATACAGTAACTCCTCGCTTAACGTTGTAGTTATGTTCTTGAAAAATGCGACTTTGAGCGAAATGATGTTAAGCAAATCCAATTTCCCCATAAGAATTAATGTAAATTGGGGGGGTTAGGTTCCAGGGAAATTTTTTTCACCAGACAAAAAACTATATATTATATAGATATACACACAGTATACGTTTTAAACAAACAATTTAATACTGTTCACAGCTATGATAATTGTGAAGCTTGGTTGAGGTGATGAAGTTAGAGGGTGGAAGAGGGAGGGATATTTCTCAGGGAATGCCTTGCTGCTAAATGATGAACTAGCACTCAGCTGAGCCCTCAAGGGTTAACACATTGTTGTTAACGTAGCCTCTCACACAAGGCAGCACAAACACGAGGGAGGAGAGACAGCATAGCAGACAGAGACAGACACACACTTTATGTGTAGGAGAGAGAGATACACACTGCCCCTTTAAGTAAGCTGACCCACTCTTAAGTGCATTGTCTTTTTAAGTGAATCAGGAAGTTGAGACAGCAGCTGCCCCAAGCTCTCTATGTCTCTCTCTCACTCCGTGTCCCCTCCCTGCTCTATATGGAGAAGGGGTAAGTGAGGAGCAGGGGGACACCCTGACATTAGCCCCCCCCCTCCCCTGCACAGCAAGCAGGAGTCTCTGGGAGCAGCTCCAAGGCAGAGGGCTGAACTGCCAGCAATTGATAGCCTGCAATTAATAGCCTGCTGGGCGGCTACAGCACAGGGAACTTAGGGGAGTGGGGAGCTGATAGGGGGGCTGCCGGTCGACCCTGGTTACAAGCCCCCACCAGCTAGCTGCAACGGGCTGCTCTTCTTGCAAGCAGTGGACAAAGCAGGCAGCTGCCAAATGATGTTAGAAGGGAGCATTGCACAACTTTAAACGAGCATGTTCCCTAATTGATCAGCAACATAACAATGAAACAACGTTAACCGGGACGACTTTAAGTGAGGAGTTACTGTAATACAGAAACACACTTCCCTAGGCTGCACGTTTGAATGCTGTTACCAATAACACCTGAAGGAAATATAAGTGGCTAACTCTTATAAGAAGAGTAAAAAAAACCTTCTCTATTAAAAGAGGGAAATCAAGCACCTCAAAACCAGCTTTTATTTCCTTGCTTTTTAGGATGAGTGTCAATGCACACCAGTAGTCTATCAACTGATGACTGATTCGCTGTCAAGTATTTGGTTAAAAAGAGGTTCCACCTACCAACACCACCCAACAGAATGAAAAGTGATCATTTGAAAATCATAAACTGTCACACATCTGCACCAGACTAATCCTGAACAGGGACTGAATTGTAAAACTTCCTACTTATGTTACCGAAGACTGAACTCCAAGGGCCAAATAAAGCAGGATGGGAAGTCAACTTTTCCTTGCTTACCTTCCACTTTTGATCTCCATTAATGTCAGCAATTGTCAAAAACTATTAACAATTAACTTATTGGAGGGAGAAGGTGGGAGCCAGATGTGACCCCCTTTAAACAGTCAATAACTTCCCAACAGGAATATGTCACCCCATATTTCTACCTACCGCAGTCTGCAGATTCAAAATTACAGGCTGATCTCTTTCCTCCCAAATGAATTATGTCCTGCAGAACCATCACCTCCGGGTGATTTGAACACTAACAAAACAAAAGGGAGACCCCTCTCCCCCCCCCCCAAAAAAACCCCCAACCACAAACCCCAGGAAAGAATCTCTCACTTCCCCTATTAACCAGCTCAGTCACTCTCCTCAGCTACTGTCACTATCCAGAGCCTCTGAAATTTCACTACTAATGGGGGCGGGAAGAAGAGACCCCCAAACCATCCCAAGCAAAGATCTTGCACCCCTCACAGAGGCTGATCTCAGCTGCGGTTACCTCAGCGTGGCCTGAAGAGCCGGGGGGGGGCATCCCATGGGATGGGGGGGAGGTAGTAACAAGCCTCGCCACACTCCCTTTGACAGGAGCACCAGGGGCTGGCCTGGGACACAGGCGGGAGCAGCCACAGAGAGAGAGACACACAGACCAGGCGTCACCATGGTAACCGAGCCCCCCACCGCAGCCCCAGCCAGACTCAGGATATTGCCCCAGCCTCAGCTCGTCGCACTTGAGCGGGGGCTCCCCGCCGGCAACGCCCTCCGCGGCGACACACGCCAGCCACAGGACGCCCAGCAACCGGGCTGCCGCTTGACGCCTCCTCAGCAGCAGCAGCCGTCGCCTCGGCCAGGCAGCCATCATCATGGAAACCAAGCCGGGCCGCCGCCGCGGCCTCAGCCGTAGGCGGCCTCGCGGGGAAGGGCGGCTCAGTGTGCAGCTGGGTACTTTGCCCACCTCAAAGATGGCTGCCGTGTAGTGTCAATCGCGCTGAAGGCAAGCCGTGCCCTTTGCCGAGCCTCCTCTGCTTCCTCTACCGGTGGAAGTCAGGCTGCCCCTAGTCAAGATGGCTACTGCGTCCCCATTGTATTAAAGTACAGGAAGCTGGGTTGCCCTCACTCAAGACGTTCCCTCCTCTCTATGGTTAGGAAGCTCGGCTGCCGGTGCCCGAAGCGCTTTGCATTGTGGGAACATGGAAGGGTGGGCAGGCGAGTGAGCTGAGGAGTGAAGGCTGGAGGAAGAATAACAAGGGAGAGGAGAGGCTGGAGAGGGAGAAGGGGCTGGGGACAAAGGTAGGCAGAATGAGAAGGAAGGGGGCTGGGAACAGGAGGGAGATTAATTCCGTCCCCCTTCCCACAGGGATGAGCTGTCAGGCTGGCTAAGGTGCTGTGTTCCAGATGCAGTCTGGAGGTGGGTTTGAATCCACTTCTGACAACAGGCCAGGGACTAGCAGAAAGAACATGAAGTTCCCCTCACTTACAAACAGGGAGTTTTTCTCTCCATCCTTTTAATGTGCATTTCAGACACAAATATGTGGGGGTGGGGGAAAACACATACAGAGGGGAAGAGGCAGCCAGCCCCTGAAAGTTAAGAAAACCAACCAACCGGAGGGCAGGCCAAAAAAATAAACAAAAAACAAACCCACCAATGTGATTTATTATTGTTGTAGAGGTTTGTTTTTAGAATGTCATTTTTTAAAAAAGTCTCTAATTTTTGGCGGGATTGTGGATGGAGAGGAGCAAAAAGTGTATCTGCCTCATATTTTCCTCCAACCCAAACATTGCTCATTGGTGGGAGAGAAGTTCCTGGACACTGGGGGTTAATTTTAAGCAAAATCTCCAAGACTATAACAGGGTTCAAAAAAGAACTAGATAAGTTCATGGAGGATAGGTCCATCAACGGCTATTAGCCAGGATGGACAGGGATGGTGTCCCTAGCCTCTTTTTGCCAGAAGCTGGGAATGGGCGACAGGGGATGGATCACTTGATGATTACCTGTTCTGTTCATTCCCTCTGGAGTACCTGGCATTGGCCACTGTCAGAAGACAGGATACTGGACTAGATGGACCTTTGGTTTGACCCAGTATGGCCATTTTACCAGGACAAATAAAATGCAGCTAGACATTTTAGTGCTATGGCAGGTCATGGAAGGTTATAATTGGTTCTAACTGACACACCCACAAGGTACAACATTTTTTTCCTACAGCCAAGTATGATACAAAAAGGTATAAACATTTGTTCTACTTTTCAAAATGTCAAAGAAAAAACTAATGATTCTTATTGATCACTATAAATGACAAACACATTAACATCAGTAAATACCTAGGCCCTGTCCAGACTAGTTTTTCACACCATACAATTTAAAATCAACATCTGCAAATACAGATTAAACAAATAACCCAGACTCCAAATGTGGTTTACAATGCAGTTATGTCCAATGGCAAAATGACGTGTGCTTAACCAAACTCATTTAAACCTGTGTTAAAAACAGTTTCTTAACATTAGAAAAACTGTAGTGTGGAAATGACATCAGGCTCCCTGAAACCACAAATTCCAAATCCCAACAGTGTCATCTCTAGCCATCATTTTTCTATCCAAGGATCACAGAGTACTTCACAAATTTTAATAAATACAGAGCTTATCTATACACTAGGGATTCTTGCACCAATGTACCTGCACCTGTCCAAATCCCTAGTGTCGATCTACTTCACTACTGTAAAAAGAGTCTTGCTGTTTCAAACTATGTCATATTGGTGCAGCATCAGTTTTCAGCTGCTGAATTGGATAAAGGTGCTATAGAAATGCAAAGAATTATTACAAAGTAGTTGTTCAAATAAAAACATCATATTACCTACCTTGTCCTCTTTTTTAGTTTATTTCACATACATCTAGAGTTTATCAATTATAGTGTTGAAGAAAACAAGTCAAGGCTTCAGTTACCCGTCAGCACCTCTGAAAACAGATTGGTTTTATATTGGTAGGTCAAATTTTTACCCTTTGAGATTATTTATCATCCAAGATGAATGGTAATACTTGCTTGTTTCTGCCTGTCTTTGTCTCTTTGCTAACGAGAGAATTTTCATGAATGTAAAAGAACTAGGGATCAATTTGTGAACCACAAATAATGTAAATAGTCGATTTTGGATTTATTTTATTTTGGAACACAGTACAACTGGGAGTCCTAGGCATTAAGATAATACAAACAATAATAATAATATAGTATGTTTGTGTGCCACTGTTCTCTCTGTTTAGAATCAGAATGACTCAACTGTGTGTCCAAGTCCCTATGCTGCTGATGGCTAATGGCCGTTCCTCTTTAGTTGAAGTGGTAGGAGCTAGTGCCTTTAAAGCAGGACAAGGCGAGTTCTAACTATGTTGCTGTTGTGAAGTTCCAGGCAACTGCAGTTTTCAGGTAACGACAGACATGAAATCCTAGCTAGCCACTGATTTGTTGCACTATGAAGATCTGATTGACCATTTCCAACAGCCTTTTCTAAAACTACATTTTCTTTCCATCCAGATTTTTATGGACTATGTTTATAGGTATCTCAGAAAGTTCTTTGTCAAACATGTCACCACCCTAAAGTCTTTTGAATTTTTTGCTTGGCTTTGTGTCCTCTTTCTCTTTCCTTTTTATTACAATCTAGAGTGACCAGATAGCAAGTGTAAAAAATCGGGATGGGGGTAGGGGGTAAAAAGTGCCTATATAAGAAAAAGCCCCCAAAATCGGGACTGTCCCTATAAAATCAGGACATCTGGTCACCCTATTACAGTCAGTGAACCCCTGAATTCCAAATGGCAACTATGAGTGACTGTCCATGGACAGACTGAAATATCATGTTTTCAAGGACAATACAAAGCTTCCATCCAAGGCCCCAATCCTGCATGCGCTCAGGGTATTGCCAACTCCAAACATACAGAAATCACGCGATTGGCTTTAAAACTCATGAGATTTAAAAAAATCTTTGGGTTCATTTTATTAAGGGTGCGTTCCTCCACAGCCACAAGGACAAGAAACTTATTTTTTTTTTGTCTTTTTTTTTTTTTTTTAATGAAAGCTGAGATTCTTCTCTAACCACCTGAATCCAGGCGCTGGGGCTTTAAGGAAACCAACAAATATGACCAGAGTTGACTTTTGTACTTTTGCTATGGCGAGCAGTGGCATTGTAATCAATGGGGCTAGGCATGGTAGTAAAGCTAAGCCTGTGTGCAAGTGTTAGCAGGATCAGGGGCCAATATGGTATTCAGGTAATGAGAGATCCTAGTTAAAGGACGCTCAGCTGTACTGCCAGCCCTGGTATGAGTTCAAGACCATGTTTACATGCTGGAAATGAAAGGACCCATTTCTTTCACTCCCCCCCCCAGCTTCTCCATCCCCCATCATCCCCTTTGCTTGGGAATAATTTGTGCCTTTCTTGTCCTTCTTTCCCTCTTGTCTCCCTCCACTCCCTTCTCCCACCCCTTGTTCCTCATCTCCCTTTCCCCCTCCCGAGTCCTCTCTCCTCGAGTCCCCCTGTCCTGCGCTGAGACCCGCACGGAGCTCGCCCGCGGCCCGCAGCGCGGTGGGTATGTGCGTACGCGGCGCCCGCCCGGCTGATTTCCTGTGTTGCAGGTGACGGTGAGGTGCGGTCAAAATCCAGCCGCTCGCTTCCGCCCAGGTGAGAGCGCAGAGCAGCCGGCGACCCGGGAGCAGCCAGGCCTTTTACAACCCGCCTCTGCGGACCAGGTATTACACTCGGGGGCAGCTTGGCTTCCCCACAGACAGGGACCCCCCCCCCCCCTTGTCCGTTTCCTGCCCCTTCGCTGGTTAACACTCCCGAGGGTGGGAGGGGGGAATGAACAGTGGCTGGGACTGGGCAGGTCAGGAACTTCCTGAAAGTTTGAGTTTCACCGATCCCCACCCGAAAGCACCCCAAATCTACTGAAGTTCGGGCAGGACTGGCTTTGGCTCTGCAAAGCCCTGATGAGCCAGGGGCTGAGCTATCGGTCTAGGCACTTTTTAATAGTGCCACAATCAACATAGTGTTTAAAATACTCCCAATCAGGGACAGTTCAGATTCAAGGCCCTTTTCAACAGCAGCCCCACTCTTTCCAAAGGGGTTTGGCCAGCTGGTTCTGGTTTTAACTCCCTACTCTGTCCAAGACCTGCTTGGTTTAGAAATGGGGAGCTGATCACCTTCTGTCACTCTGGAAATGATCAGAGGGGTCTGTCATAGGCTTAGTTTGGGGGGGCAGAAAGGACACATGTGTGGCACACAGGGTCATGTGCCACCCCCAGATTTCTGCCTTCCATTTATCTCGGAGGTTTTCAAACTGGGGATGGGGCATGGAGGAACGTTTGGTGGGGAGTAGTGATGCCAGGCAGCTCAGGCCAGCCCCGTATGGCAGGGCTCGGGGATAGGGTTGCCAACTTTATAATATTTAAAAAACAGACTTTGGGTGTTCAGTTAGTAGATTTGATTGGACACTGTCAGGTTCCCTTTTCGACCACCTTTTTGGTAAAAAACCAGACACCTGGCCACCCTCTCCAAGCCCTGCCGTGTGGGGCTGTCCTGAGCTGCCTGGAGTCACTGCTTGCCCCCATTAGGGTGACCAGATGTTCCGATTTTATAGGGACAGTCCCAATTTTTGGGTCTTTTTCTTATATAGGCTCCTATTACCCCCCCACCCCCGTCCCGATTTTTCAAATTTGCTGTCTGGTCACCCTAGCCCCCATGAGTGTTCCTCCACACATCCCCTCCCCTCATTTGAAAACCTCTGTGCTAAATGGAAGGCAGAGATATAGGGGCACGTGACCCTGTGTGACCCCCCTCACATCAACTCTGGTTTGGGGGGGGCAAAACTTCATCATTTTCCCCCCAATCTCCGCCCCAGCTGCATGTGAGTAGATGTAGCTGCCAGGATGTAAAGGGCTCTTTATTTTTACATCTGAGGAAAATTAGTTTGATTATTGTGGGGG